TCCTGTCTTAAATTCCTTTTCTGCTATTAAAATATAACTAAATAATTATTCACTGAAATCTCTGTGGTTTGAGCTACAGAAGTGGGCATTTAGCTACATAGAATTTTAGCGTCTGTTTCAGGGCTACAAAAAGGCTTCAAGTCCTCTGAGTACACAGCCTGCACCTCCAAGTTGTTTTCCAGGTTTTGTGGTCACCCTGATATGCTAATGAATCAACTGAGCAGCCCTTACTCAGTAGCCCTGCAGTGCTATCTAGACTAACCCCCAATCCAGAATGCAGCTAGCAGGTAGACCGCAAATGAGAACCTTCTTGGTGACACAAATGAATGGGGCCCTTAAAAGTTCTGTGCCATTGACAAAGTTGCCACTTTGACTTAAGAGTTTTGCCAGTTTGGAAAATCCTATATCTGTCATTAAAGACTTTAATCCCATCTAAAGAAACTAAACTTTGTTGGTATGAGGCTGTTGGCTCTATTTTTTAAATTATCCATTTCTTTAGCCATTTCTATTATTTTATGCCCAACAATAGAGGTCATCTCCAGAAATACGGCTGCCCTTCATCTTTCAAACTAGACATGTCTCTTGTTTTCTCGTCAAGGGAAATAACTGCTTTCTACAGTTCACAATCTTATACTTTTTATTTCCCCAAGCTATTATTTCAGATATTTTCTGTAACAATAATACATTCTCAAAAAGAATCTATGGGCAGAGGAGACAAAAAAGGAGGATACCTTGCAAATAATACATGTATTTCCTAGTCAAGTCATAAAAAACAAAGATGTCTCAAGAATACTATATAAAAATAAAATATTACTTAATATTAAATAGCAGCCAAGAAAAGTCCAGATACAGCCATGAAATGTACATAACACAAATTGTGCATGTGCATTTAAAGAAATGAAAAGTTAACAGATCTAAATGAAGACAAAATGCAAAAATTACTCATAGATAAAATACTGCCAATTTAAGTTTGCAATCTTAAGTCAGGATGAAAATATAAAATAGATAAAAACAATGTCTAAATGACCACTACACACCAGAAATACTGAAATAGGTTAATGAATCATGGTATCTATCTTCAATGAGCTTACAATTCAAAGGCATGACAGAGCATATTGACTACTGAGTAAAGCCTACCCCTTAAAGACATATCTTGTAAAAACTAAATTACCTTCAAGCCCAATGTAAAAAAAGTAAAATATGGCCAACCAGTAGTAGCAATTACTACTTCAAAACAAAAAGAATACAAATGTGGATTTCATGAGGCAATCAGAGTAAAGTCATTTCAAATCATTCTCAATAGAAGTTCCCAGCCATTTTGACTACAGTAGTCTTTGCTAAAACCTCTTGCCCTCCAAAATGTATAAGTTATTCTATTACATAGTCTATATGGGTGTTGTCTAATAAAAATGTTACGCAAGTCACACATGTAATTTCAAATGTTCTAGTATCCACAAAAAAGGTAAAAAGTGAAATTTTATTTATTTATTTAACTGAGACAGAGTCTTACTTTGTCATGCTCAGTAGAGTGCCCTGGCATCACAGCTCAGAAACCTCAAACTCTTGGGCTCAAACTCTTGCCTCAGCCTCCCAAGTAGCTGGGACTATAGGTACCTGCCATAACACCCCGCTATTTTTTTTTTTTTTTTAATTTAGCAGGCCTGGGCCAGGGTTAGAACCCACCAGCCTCGGCACATGTGGCTGGCACCCTAACCACTGAGTTAGGGGCGCCCAGCCTGTGAAATTAATTTTAGTAATATTTTACTTGGTATTTTCAAAATATTGCTGCCTCAACATATCAGTATAACATTCTTAATGAGACATTTTATACTCTTTTTTTTCTTACTAGGTCTTTGAAATCTAGTGTGTATTTTATACTGATTGCATATTTCAATTTAGACTAGCCACATTTCAACTGCTTAATAGCCACAGAAGGCTAGTGGCTACTATTGAGGATAGTGGTACAGGTCCAGAAATATTAAGTTAAAAATAGAAAAATCAGAGTCAAAGGATCTAATGACAGTGAATCTGGATTTTATTCTCCTAATCCGGAAGTTCTCCAAGATTGGTATATTCCCAAGATCTTTTCAAGGACTCTAAGAAATCCTTTTCCAACAATCTGTTTGGGCTGGCTTTTCTTCAGTATTTTAATGATGTAATGCAATAGACTGAATACAGAAATACACAAGAAAATCCAGTTTTTCTTGTTAAACCAGATAAAGACAAAGAAAGATCCAAAAATGTAAAATAATGCTAATTTTCTCATTAAATTTTTTTGCTTATTTTGGAAAAAAAA